TAGGTCAATCGACTGTTGCATTTTCTGCAATTGGCTGTCTGCAAGCAGAGGATTAGAAGCGTAATTTTTACCTGACGTGGCCATTACCTGGGTTTTCGGCGACATATCGCAGAATCGGTCAGCGAACTCGGCAATTGCGTCAAGTGGTAGAGTGCTCGATGTTATCAAATACGGCTGTATCTGTGCTGGAAGCCGCTCGAGCCATAGTTGCTGCAGAATGGTGTCGTCAATGGATCCATTGGCTAGTTCCCGCATTTGTCGGAGAAGTTGGGTCGGTTTTTTACCGTCGAGCTTGACTTCTCGTAGTAGTTTATTGACCTGCTTTTGCCTAGAGTCAGAAAGTCGTGCAATAAGAGTTTTCTTGAGAGTTTCATACTTATCTGCGACTGGCTCTTGTCGAATCAAGTCGGATAATTGCTCCATCGTCTCGGAATCCAAGGCCTTGATGACCGTGAAGTACTTGATTCGATCATTGTGAATGTTGCAGGTGAAAAATTCCGCTTCCGCCGTCACAAACCAGAGATCAGGACGGGTTTTGGAGAATGCTGGCAGCGTTGGTCGGACTACGGTGTATTGTGGGTCCGGAGGCAACATGCTGCTGTAAAGAAGCGGATTAAGTGGGTATGTTACCGTTTGTTTACCTGGTGGTGTCTGAATTTTCGGCTTTGTGCCTGTGTTGGTGTTCTGGTCTTGTTTGTCGTTTATTTCCAAACTCTTAAGAATTTCTTGAGAAACTGCGTTGCCCAGGACGAGGGTATCGTCCTTCTCGTAGACGGGATTTCCTTCAGCGTCGTATCCCAATAATTTCCTCTTGGGGTCCTGTGTTGTCTTTTCCGGTGTGCGATCAACACCCATTTTTGTTATTTTTTTTTTTACAGTTGTTTAGTTTTATGACTTTTTTATTGCGATGTAATTAATTGCGCGTCGGTTTATTTCGCGGTATTGTTTTTTTGGCGGGATGCCGTGTATAACCGCGTTTCGATCACTTTGATCACGTCGGGGTCACCAATTGTGGATTCAAAGGGAATACACTATACTAAAAATTACTAGACCAAAGTGATACGATTATTATTATTATTTATTAGTCAACAAAATATATTTAAATGATTAATTATTATTTAATAAACTTTAATTGGATTAATTAGATTATTTGGATGCCACAGCTGTGGTGGTATCTTCAGCGATTTTTCTGTGTATATCCGTGTGAGATCTACAGTACGTTGAGTGGTCCCAGTTGTTGCCGCTTGGCGGTGTTGAGGCGTTTTTAGTTGCGAGTCTACCACTAGAGGCGTGACCGCGCTGACAGTACCGCCACAGCCTCTATATCCCCCTGTTTAACTACTTTAATCGGTACCCGGGAAATAAAATTATAAATAATTGTATATGAAAAATGACCCTATATAATTATATAGAATTATTTCCATAGAAAAAAAAATTTGGCGTGCGCGGGAATCAGACCGTGGACCTGACGCTTTAAAAACTGATTCACTACTTTTTTTTTTTTTAAAAGAAGTTTATTTGCATATGAAAAAATACATTTTTGTTTTATAATAAGCTGCAAACTAAAAACTTAAAAAGTAGCTTTACTACATTATACACTTTGGTTTTAACTTAGTAACTAGTCTCCTTGATTGGAGCAGCTAAAACTAATTCATTTTTCTAGAAAAAATAATTCTATTTGTTTTTATTTTATTGTTTTTAGAATTTAATAGTTCTAAGTTATTGGCAATTAATAAGCCTCCTGGATGCTAATTTTTATTATAATAATTAATGGAAAATTTTTCTTATAAAAACCATTTTCTCTTACTAGTATCATTGCTGTTTTAAATCATATACACTATATACACTATTTACAAATCCCACCCCCCTCAATTAAGTGAGACGTAGTCGCCTACGAAGCTCCTTACGATGCATGGACTCACTGGTGAGCCACCAGTACTTCTCGCTCAGTCTGTGTGCGTCGAGACTGTCTCTCTCCGGAAGGCCCATGAAGTATCCGAAATCAAACCATCTGGTTTTGATGTCTTCTGGTTTGAATGTAATTTTTTTGTTTGCCTTATGTCTTTTCCAATGGTAGATGATCGGAATGTTGTATTCATCTTGTATTAGGCCTCTGTTGTCCATTGTGAGAAATGCTTGAGGGGGAAGAAGGCCCGTCTCATTACGTATATTGAAATCCTCATTGGTGAATTTAGCAAGTCCCTGGATTGCCTCGTTGTCAATTTGCGGAAGTTTACTGAAATAATCACGAATCAGTCTAATGATGTGATTATCAATTCTAGGGATATTTGCTATGGAGTAGATGACTGAGTTACTAATAAATTTCTTGAAATTGGATTCCGCTGATCTGTAGGCTCCAATGCACGCTCTCAAGCATTTCCTTTCGAAAACTCTATAGTTTTCAAAGACGGCTGCACTAGTGTTCCACCAAATTGGTGCGGCGTAAGTCAGGATTGGCCTGACGAGTAGAAGGTAGCAGATTATTTTAGTTTTTCTACATATATTTTTATTATAGAAAATTCGGTTGTTGGCTTTGAAAGCGGCTTTAGCCTTGGCCAGTTGAATATCTGGATGGTGTCTCAGTCTAAGCAGCTGCTCGATGTGTACGCCCAGGTATTTGACGATTGTTTTGTGGGGGATGTTAATCGGTTCATTTGTATTCGGTGATGGAGTAGATATTTGGAAATTTTTTATTTGAGTCAGCGCATTTTTACTTAAGTGGTTGGACTCCCTTCTGAAAACAATTGTTTCGCACTTGTCTGGATTTATCCTTAGGTTCCATATTTTGTAGACGTTATTTATGTTGTTTACAAGTTGTTCCAACTTCTCCTGCAGTTCGAGAAGTTGCTTACCTGCTAGACCCACTATCATATCGTCTGCGTAGGCCAAAGCAAACTTATCTTCGTCAATATTTAGCCCGAAGAGGGCTAAGAGACTCATTGTTAGGATGTTGAAAAGGATTGAAGAATTTACCGTGCCCTGCTGAAGTCCTTCAAATATTTCGTAGGTCTTGCTGGAAAGGTTGAGACCGTCCCAGGTACGAAAGGTTCTTTTTGTGATCATGTCAATGATTATTCACAGCAGCCAGCATGGGAAACCACGCATTGTCAGCTTATAAATAAGGCCATTTATCCATACTGAGTCAAATGCCTTTTCTAGATCTATTAATACCGCTGCTACTCGAAGATTGGCGCTTAGGTGATCCATGATTGTATCAACAAGTTTGTGAATGGCGTGCGTTGTGCTATGCCTAGCTCTGAATCCAAACTGTAGATTGTGTATTATTTTTTTGTCAGTGCATACTTTTATTATATGATTATTGATTATTATTTCGAATACTTTTCCTAGATTTGATGCTAGACTGATTGGTCTATAGCTGGTTGCCTTGTTTGGGTCCTTGTCTTTCTTTAAGATAGGAAGAACTTTGGCTGACTTCCAAGAATTAGGAAAGTATGCGTGATTTATTGCATTATTAAATATCATTACTAGTGCTCTGGTCACTCTCGGTGGAAGGTGTTTCAGGATTATTGACGGGATTTCGTCTGGACCACTAGAAGTTTTATTTGGAAGTTTTTTCAGGATTTTATTTAATTGTTCCGGGTTTGTGAATGGCCTGTCATTATTAATATCTGCTGGTTTGTTGGCAACTTTTTGACAAAATGGTCCGATTTTGGATTTTTTTTTTTAAAATACTCAGAAAAATATTCTAAACATTTGTGTGTATGTCGGAAGTGTTGCTTTTTTTTTGTTTAAAAAATAGCGTTTTAGCGTCGAGCTTTAAAATAAAATATCTCGGAAACTACGCAAAAGTAGTCGAGACATGCTGCGTATGAAATTTAGAAAATTTAATAAGGAAAAAAATGAGCTAAGCTCGATGTCTGTACGACCAATAGTTTACGAGATATTAATTTTTTAATTAAAAAAAGCGCGGTTCCGCTCGAGCGCTTATAAACAAATAGCTGTAACTCCGCGGAAAATCGATCGATTTACTTTTTTTTTTTTTAATTAAAGCTTTTGTTGTCTTTTATAAGCAAAAAATTCAGCTAAGCTCAAAAAAATTTTTTTGAATTTATATGAATAACTTTCATTTTTTTGAATTTTTGCATTAAAAAATAGTTAAAATAAAAATTAAATTATTTTTGTTGCATAAAAATGTTTTTCCGGTAACAAAAAATCGATACGAAAAAAAAAAATTTTTTTTT